CTCTGGTGCCTGCAGTATGCAAATGATAATTGAAAGAAATTCAGTATAATTAAACTCCTGAATATATGATAATGACTCAACACCATAAAATAAAATAATAAAAATAAACTTAATTCTTGGGTCAATCTCGGGAGCTATTGACTTTAAGCACATGCGAAATCGTATTATGCAAGGTAATATAAATTAATTATAATCCATTAATAAAAAATTCGCATTAGATTTAAGATACCAATTATTGTCATAATTTAATACCTTGAATGATTTATACGTCACTTATTATACGCTAGGCTCTAATTATTCAAAAATCTACAATGAATACTTACCCAGTCGTGGCATGAGACCATGAAATGGTCGGCGCCGTGGGTTCTATTCCAAAAGGGGTATTTCTGAGCAAGGATGGAGATATAATCCATCAGCAGCGTTGCATCCTGTCACGAGAGTAGTCGTGATGGAGATGATAGGCAAGTAAACATAGCGAACTACTTGAAACACTAAGCGGCAGAAAAAAGCATGTGCCTCATCAGGATGACTAGCCGGAATGGATTGTTTTTCTCTCCATTTCATCGATGAATTGTCCTTCTAGGGCGTATTTATCCTTCAATGGCCCATTATGCACTAGAGGTTGCTCTCCTTCCTGGTAGATCCATATTTGAATCTCTCACCATCTCAAGTGGCTTTAGTGTCAATATAATTATTAAAAAGAAAAAAAGAAAAAAGGAAGCCTTTAGGGCAATTTAAAAGTTTCTATGGTGAAAACTTACTGATGAAATGCATATGCATTTTTGTAAACGATCCTTTTGGGAGGAACTCTCTCTTCCTTTTCTGATGGGTATTTGATGAGGAAGAGGAGGTTGGTGAGCTTAATTATGAAGAATTGGAACAATCATTATATGGAGAAGGAGCTTCCTATAGATGGTGGTGAATCTGGTGATCACCTATCTTATTATGACTCAGCAGATGCTTCAGAAGGTTATTTACAATTTTATAAGCAATTTCAATTTGGTATTATCTAGTTTATATTCAATTAGTTTAAATGGGAAAATTTAACCTATGGTTTTCCTTTTTTGCTAGAATTTTTTGTAGATGATGTCGCCGATGTTAATAATGATGACGATCCTCTATCAGGTGGTGTGTGAATTATGAATTGTTAATTTTAATTGAGGATGGAATGATGGATTGAAGACCATTCGGTGAAGATCATTTTTGGTTAGAATGTTGAAGTGTTGATTTGGAAGTTGAAAACTTGAAAGTTGAAAGTTGAAAACTTGAAAGTTGAAAGTTGAAACAACTATTATGTGATTTTTGATTTTTCTTCATTTATCTTGTTAGTTTGATTTGAAATTTGTTGTATTATTGATGTAATGGTGTATGATAATGCTTTGTTAAGGAGTTTTTATACTAGAATTTATTATTTGGAGCAAAATCTGGGAAATACAGGTTCTGTGAACAGTATTTTTGTGACGTCATCATGCTGACGTCAGCATGATGACGTCACCGGTTGAACCAACTGATTCAACCGGTTAAACCGGTCGACCCGGGACCCGGCCATCTTGCCGGGTTTTGTCCCGGGTCGGTTTTTAAAACATTGTATATGTGTACTATTTCAGAGATAATAAAATATACTCTTTTCACCAAAAGTTAACTCGGTATCAGAGCCTCCTTTTGTCCCATCAAATTGCCTGTTTCAGTCACCTTCCATCATTGATCTCCACAGATCCGCCGCCAATCTTGCTGATTTTCTTAGATCAATTCAGATTGTAGGGGTCTGTAGTGTGTTTGTAGGATTTGAAACTTGCATGGTTGTTTTGAAATTTGTGTTGCTTGTTGTGTTGTTATTTGTTGTTTGGTTGGTGTAGTTATTTGCACTTTGGGAGTATTTGTGTTTCCTAGGTGTTATTTGCTGGTGGTGTTAGTTTGATTCACATGTGTTAATGGGTTCTACTGTGCCTCACTGTGAGGTTGCCAGACCTATTGATGTTATCTTTGACAGAACCAATTATGTTGAATAGCATCAGGCCATGAGGAGTTTCTGAAAGGGCACAAAATGTGGTGTGATATTACTAGTGATATCAAAGAACCCAAACAAAGGGAGTATGAAACTAACGAAAATTTCTCAAGATTGCCTTGAAAATTGGGACAACGGAAACCATTAGATGATTACCTAGCTCCATAATACCTCTATACCAAATCTCAGTTAGGAATTTGGTAACTATGACCCAGCTAAAGATGTTTGGAACTTGTTAGGCAATGGTTTTGTTACTAGTGGAATTGTTCACCAACATTAGGTTTGGAGCGCACTTATTACAGTGAAGCAAGAATTTGGACAACCAATTCATGATTATTATGCTAAAATGTTTGGTTATTGGGATCAGTTGGCTCTATCTAAATCTATACTTTAGAATCAAGATGATGTTCAGGTTGTAATTACACATAGGAAGAAGATGCGTCTGATTCAGTTTCTCATGGGTCTTCTCCTAACTATGAGAATATTCAGGCTATTTCTACTACATCATAACCACCAACTACCTTTGATAGAACTCTAGCTCATCTGATTCCAAAGGAAGACTGATTCAACACCCTAAAGACACCTCAGACCGATGTGTCATGGTTGTATCATCTGTCTCATTTTCCTATATAAATCTAATACTTCAAGACCTAAACAATTGACCTATCATTATGTAAGAAGCCTAATCCTTTCCTTCATGATTGTCTTAGTTGGCCTAAGGAGTTGAATTGTAATACTGCAAGAAATCTAGCCATTTCATCAATGATTGTTCTATTTGGCCACCAAGATCTTTAGGAAACAATTATCATTAGGAAAATTAGCCCAAATCTCATCATTCTCATGATGATGCTTCACTCTGTTGTTGCTATGTTGAAGATTCAGAATCAAGCTGTAAACCTACATCAACTTTTTTTCTTCAAAAATTATTGAGTCAGGTTGTTTTGTTCATTTACATCTAGTCTCAATTGCCATGTCTGTCACTCCAGGTAAATTTGCTGTTTTTTTTTTTTTTTTTAATTTTTTAATTTCTTTTATATTGCTTGTTGTAACCAAATGACTCCTAATCCAAGTTTATTAGTTTAAAAAATCAACCCCTCACTTACCATCTATTACACTTGCTAATGGTTCTTTATGTCGCTAGTCATGTGGGTAGTGTTTCTACTCTTGTTTATCTTTGTCTGATACCTATCTTGTTCCAAAACTTACCCTTAATTTGTTATATGTTGGTCAACTTTGCGAACTTGGTTCTGATGGTCTATTTCTCAATCTGGTTGATATGTGTGGATCTTCATACAAGGCAAATCCTTGTGAAAGGCGAGTGGTCGGTGTTCGAGCTTACTTCTCTTAATGTTCCTACACTTTAGGTTGCTTCCAATATCTACCTCTCCATTGAATCTTTGAGATTCTCGTCTTGGTCATGTCTTAGTTTCTAGACTTCGGTTTATGGTGTCTATTGGTATTACGTCAGGTAAAGATAAATCTATTGATTGTTGTCTGTTAACTCGCCAACAATTAGCTTTACTTTTTCTGTTAGTGATTTTGTTTTTTTTACCCCTTTGATTTGATTCATTCTTATGTTGAGGCCTTGTGCCAAATGAATCTATGGGTGGTTTTGTATTATTTGGAACATTTGTGGATGATTGCTCTAGATTCACTTGATTATATCATATGCGGCAAAGATCTTAATGGCCTAAGAGTTATTTTGATTTTTCTACAATGATTCAAACTCAATCTCTTGCAATATAAATTATCTACACTTATAATGCTTTGGAATAGAGGTGGAACAAATGAACCGGATTAGGCGGGTCAATCCTAACCGGCCCGCATTAGAGAGGTTCAATAAGGCGGGCCGGGTTGAACCCAACCCGCATGTAACCCTGGGTGGGCCGGGTTACTATATGACAACTGCCAACCCGGTGGGTTGCTATTTGTTGACAATAGCCAACCGACGGGCTGGCCCCAAAAAATTAAAAAAAATAAAAAATTAATTATTTTTTTCAGTTTCTCCCATTTTTTTAATTCTTTTAATTAAACTATTATGATTGAACTCTTACAAATAATTTTACACCAATAATATTAAACTATACTTCTAAATCATAAATATTAAAATGAAAAAACTTCGTAATATTTGACACATTGTTATTATTATTTTTTATGGTACGTAAAGTATAAAAAAATTAATACTAAGTCTTATTCTTAAATTTCCATATCTTGTATAAAATATAATTTATTCTTATGCTAAAGTTCATCCATTGAATGAATAAATCTAATTTTTTTATATTACATTTTATTGTATTAAAATTGAATATATTTGAAATGTTAATAAAAAAAATTAATTTAATTTAATTATTGATATTTGAAAATTTAACTAAAAGCAATTACATTTATTCATTTATAAACGTTAATTATTATTTGAAAAGTTTACTAAATAAAAAAAAAAAATCGAATAATAGGGTTAACCCGACCCGACCTGCAGCCTAACCCAGCAGGTTAGGGTTGGTGGGCCGGGTGGGCCAGCCATTACCCCAAAATGATGGGCTAACCGACCGGTGTCTTTGTTGGCGGGCAGGTTAGGACCAACTCGCCAAAAGAAGTAACTACCACGGGCTAGGCCGGGTCGGACCGGGCGGGTTACTTTTCCACCTCTACTTTGGAATATAAGAAAAAAGAAAAAACTTCTTCATCAGCACTTTGAGATAAAGGATTTGGGTACTAAATAAGTAGTATTGCTCTTACAAAGCTTGTATAAAATTTAAACATACAAAGTGGGTAGCATTGCCTTTAATTGACATATCATTGGGTAATAAATTAGTATCTTTTTATTTTCACTCTAACAATCATCACATCACTTTGTATACTAAACATTGTAAAAAACTTTGAAAAGTGGTATTACTGATTACGAACAATGTTATCTCATTTATAGTTTGAAGGAAAAATTTAAAAAAATAGTTTCAAGTTTGCTTAATCCCTAATTCACACTTTCTGCAACTATCAACTCATCTCTTTTTGCCAATTCAACTTCCTTCTTAATACTCTTTCATAGAGCCTTATCACATATTGGGTTTCTTCTAGGATAAACCTTTTTTCGCTTAATTACTTACCAATAGGGCCAAATCCAATTAACAGCACAATATATATATATATATATATCCTCCTTCTACAATTATGATGAAGCTGGCAGTCTGAAGTTGAGTCTCCTGAGCCACACTGAGTGAAGCATCATATGAATCACATCAAATGGCTTTGCCGGTCGGTTCAAAACAAAATGTCTCCGCACTCTCTTTACTCTTCTATACATTTTCAAGTATTTGTTATTTGAAATTCCTTTCAAGATGGTCTTGATTTCCGATATCTTCTCCGTTGGAATATGTATAGAAAATTGGTCCCAGTTAAGTACATCACTAAACGGTAACCAATAATTATCAGAAATTATCACAGGAACACAACTCGCATAAATTGCTTCAACCTCTCTTGGGCTTGCCACTTCGAACCCACTTGGACATAGACAAAACTTGCTTTGACCCATCATTTCTGTGTAATCTAGGCCTTTTGGTAGACGCTCATAAACTTGAACTTCATTGTCTCTGTTCTTCCAATCGTTGAATAGCTTTTCCCGTATGTAACCATGAGCCCTTCCTGCAAAAAACGCCAGGATCGACCGGTTTTGGGGGCCCTGGCTCAGACGTGGGGGGCCATATCTCCCTAACGGCGGCAAGTAGAGTTCGGGCATTGACACATCTCTTGTGGGATCAAATCCCTCTGAAGTGTTGGCATTGCAAAGGACTCTTATGAAGTTTCGAAAAAACTCTGGATTGTCGTTTGTAACCTCTGGTGCCTGCAGTATGCAAATGATAATTGAAAGAAATTCAGTATAATTAAACTCCTGAATATATGATAATGACTCAACACCATAAAATAAAATAATAAAAATTAAACTTAATTCTTGCGGTCAATCTCGAGGAGCTATTGACTTTTAAGCACATGCGAAATCGTATTATGCAAGGTAACTATAAAATTAATTATAATCCATTAATAAAAAATTCGCATTAGATTTAAGATACCAATTATTTGTCATAATTTAATACCTTGAATGATTTTATACGTCACTTATATTATACGCTAGGCTCTAATTATTCAAAAATTACACATGAATACTTACCCAGTCGTGGCATGAGACCATGAAATGGTCGGCGCCGTGGGTTCTATTCCAAAAGGGGTATTTCTGAGCAAGGATGGAGATATAATCCATCAGCAGCCGTTGCATCCTGTCACGAGAGTAGTCGTTGATGGAGATGATAGGCAAGTAAACATAGCGAACAATACTTGAAACACTAAGCGGCAGAAAAAAAGCATGTGCCTCATCAGGATGACTAGCCCGGAATGGATTGGTTTTTCTCTCCATTTCATCGATGAATTGTCCTTCTAGGGCGTATTTATCCTTCAATGGCCCATTATGCACTAGAGGTTGCTCTCCTTCCTGGTAGATCCATATTTTGAATCTCTTCACCATCTCAATGTGGCTTCTGATTAGTTACAATAATAATTATTAAAAAGAAAAAAGAAAAAAGGAAGCCTTTAGGGTCAATTAAAAGTTTCTATGGTGAGAAACTTAACTGATGAAATGCATATGCATTTTTGTAAACGGATCCTTTTGGGAGGAACTTCTCTTCCTTTTCTGATGTGTAGTTTTGAAGCTGAACTGCCATGCGAATGGCATCTCGTGCTCTGGCTAAATCTGCTTCAATTTTCTTTACACGACTCTTGTTCTACTGATACAAATATATATACAGGAGTTAAGAAAAATTGGCCGTGATCAATATTAATCGAGAAGTCAATCAAGAGAAAGTGAAAGCACATGATGATAACGATATAATATGAAGATTCTTACTTTGATTTTACTAGCTTTATGTTTACTGCTTTTATAAATGATAGTCGGAGAAAAGATGGGGGAGGAATTTTGTGGTGGGGTTGTGTCATTGGAATCTCTATTGATACTGGAAGATGTGATAGAAGTCAAGAAATGATCAATGTGGTTTCCATTAAAGGGACGAGAAAAAGTGAGAAAGAGAAGAAGAAGCAGAAATGCGGGAAGTAGAAGGTAAGATGTGGTGCCGCTTAAGCTCTCCATAGCGATTTCCCACTCTTTTGCATGAGGTTTCTTTCGATCTATCATATACATATAATATATAGATAAGAACATGGAAAAGCCAAATTAGTCTAACTTCATTCATTTAAAATATAATCAATCATAATAATAGTTATATACAGGGAAGGGAAAAATAGAATCATACATATAAAAGCATAGTTTTACTGTACAAATAACAAGACTTTTTTTTTTTTGGGATGATTATATATTTGAATTATGTTACATATAGTAAGACGTAAAACAATTTTTTTTTCCCTACTTTTTATATGCATTTGATTCAAATTAGAAGTGTTTGTTGATGCAGGACATTATGGCATATTTATTAAGTTCTCATATTGAATATTTTAAATGTTTGTAGGAAATATTTTATTGACAATTTAATTATAAAAAAGAAATTAGTTTTAATTATATTTTCATTTTCTCAATTGGTCTTTTGTACGTAGAGAAGCTGATTATAAAGTTTATATAATGTATTAGTTATTAACTGAAAAATGGGCCGTGTTTTGACCCTATTTAAAGTGCAATATAACTTTTTAACTAATTAAATCATCTCATTTAAATTGGATGGGAAAGTTTATATATATACCTAATAAATCTTAAAAATTACATTAATTTAATAAACTCTATAACGGAGATGTAAGAGTAGTAATTGACCTAATCTTTTATGTATCTCAGAGTCATTTTGAATTAGGCGGTTTTGACTAAAATTTATTGAATAATGTCATTCACTTCAAGAGTGAATTAAAAAAATACCCATTTGACTAAAAGTGAATTTTTATGTTTTGCTAATAAATACATAGTATAGAGAAACGAACGAAGAAGAATATGAGGATTCTAGAAAAGAGTGTACAGAAAAAAAAAAAGTTTTTGAACCTTACCAATATTATCAAATGATCTTGGTGCAATAAGAGCATATACTGTGTCGGTGCAAATGCTTTCAAGCACAAAGCTTTTAATGGGTATAAATAAATTATGAACAAGGAATTGTGTAAACTCTAACCCCGATAAGTAGATAATAATTGTTAAAAATTATACATATTGATGAGAACTAGGGGAAAGAGTTCTCAAATGAGTCTTGGATCACAAATCCCTTGAGCATTGTGCCTCTTGATTGCAATGCAAGTCATATGATGCTGAAAGTTCGACAAGATTAATTGGATAGTCTAAGCAATTGTTGCTGATAGTCATGTAGAGTCTCCTGTATAAGCATAGGGATTGGAGTTTTATAACTACTACCTTTTTATAACAATAGATGGTTAAGCTGGCTACCATTAAGTATTAACACCTTTAAGTTGAATGAGAACTAGGGTGTTACTGAGCTAGGCACACCATGACCAGTTACCGAGATTCAGAACATTTATTAGTGGGTCATATAAAATGAATTTTTTCCTGGTTAGAGCTTCATCTAAACAGTATACATTATAATTAATGGTAAATAATAAATATGGATCATCTCCTAATTTGAGCCCTTTGAGTGTTCAAAGATCTTATTGTTAGGATATTATGGCTCGCTTTCCTATTTGTTCTCATGTAAAACTATATGTCTTTAAGAAAATTATTTAATAAAGAATATAATTATAAATAGAAATATAATTTAAGAGTCCTATTAAGATTTGAAATATATATCCTATTAGAAATAAGATATCTTATATCCTGCCCATAAATATAGGGATGAAAACTAATTAAGGTTGTAAGAAAATATGAGAGAATGTGAGAACACAAAGTATTTAAAGTAAGAGTTATTAAACACCATGGGTACAGTGTCTTATAAACTAGGATCCATTTCACTCTAAGTATTGGGTTGAGGTTAGAAATTAGGATTGTTTCCGCTCTGCTTTATGTACCGAGTTTATGATGTTATAAACTCTTGTATATCGTGTTTATGAAACTATATTGAATTTCTCTCATCCATGGATGTAAACGGGTTATGCTGAACTCCATAAATATCGTGTCTCTTTGTATGGAGTGGCTTTATTCCTATGTTATTTATATCAAAAGTATGTTTTTTGTTGCGCGATCTCCTAACAATTACGCTGCGCAATCTCCTAACACTTAGAACATATGTTCATCGATACTAATGCTTTGTTATGATTTCTTTTTTTTTAAATATATATTTTTTTTATCAACCACCAATCATGTACTTGTATTTTGTTCACGTAAAAATTTGATCCAAAAAGGATTTTGATCCATAAAAAGATTAAAAAAAAAAAAAATTCTAATTACGATTGGTTATAAATGTATACATGTCTTTAGATTTTTAGAAACTAAGAGAATTCACATTAGAAGAGGATTCAAATTCAAATAACAATTACTCTTAAGGTTTGAGAAAAGTATCTTTAAAAAATGGCTCCGGTTGTTTAGTTTTTTAGAATAGTATTCTATTCTGAATAGAATAGGATTCTGAGAATGTGTTCGGTACATTTTTGGAAAACATTTTCTGAAAATATTTGAATTATTTTTAACCCTCTACAATTGCTAATTTAGCTAAACACCCCCTACAATAAAAGTTTATAAATTAACAAAAACACCCTCACCCACCTAATAATTGCTGGCAGCCTGCCATCACTATCAGACAGTGGCCGAAAGTCATCGGAATGGTGCACAATCGGATGGATGTGGCCGGTCGTGTGCCAATCTGGCTTTTTCTGGCCAAATCTACGGTCAAAGATCTGGCCGCTGCTTAGCCATCGTTGACGGCCATATTTCTAGTCGTCGTTTGACCATCAACAGCCAGATCTTTGGCTGTAGATCTGATCATTTTCTGCTAGATCCATGGTGGATCTGGCTAGAAACGGACAAATCAGCGCATGAACAGCCAAATCAGCTAGTCGTGCGCCATTTCAACGACTTTCGGCCATCGTCCGACCGTGGTGGATGGTTGCTAGCAAAAAGTTGGGTGGGTGAGGGTGTTTTTGTTAATTTTAAATTTTTTATTAAGAAAGGTAATTGTTAAATGTTTTGAGCTGAATAGAATATAATTGGATTTTGAAAAATATTAAAACAACCACATTTTCTATTTTTTAGGATAGGATAGTGTTAGAATAGGGTACCAAACGTAGCCAACTTTTAATTAAAATAATTTTGAAGTGACATTTTCATCTGTATGTACTGTTAATATTCATTACAATTTTTTTTTAATGTATGTATAATTTTTTTTCAATAATTAACTCCAAGTAACTGTTAAATGTTAATAATTCTCTCTCTCTCTCTCTCTCTCTCTCTCTCTCTCTCTATATATATATATATATATATATATGAAAAATGAATCACGAATATAGACGAGTTAAGTAAAGTTCATTAATTAATTCGATTTTATATCAAATTGAAGTGTTAAAATATATAAAAATAATAAAAATTGGTAATAGTTTAATGAACAAAATGACAAAATAAAATATAAACTAGTTGTATACGCTAAAAATCATTTTGGGCCTTATTAGGCCCAAGCAGACATTTTTTTACTATGTAGGCCCAAGGCCGTGGCCCAATGCTGGTTGGGCCAACATTAGAATTCATGTCACGGGCCAAAATGCATGACCTAAACCCTACCTCTCTCCAGATTAGGCGTCACCATTGGCCCACCTAGGGCCAAGCCCATTGGTCCATTATAATTAGGAGACTTCCTATTTGAGTATTATCCTAATTCGTCCAAGATTTCATATCCTATGTGAATTAGGACTCTTGATCCTAAGGCAAGTAAATCATGATCCTTCCTATTCACTAAACCTCTACTATTATGGACTACTAGGATACGAAGATTCTATGAATACTATATAAACAGGGTTACACCTCTGTTTCAATCTCAATACCACCTACTTGTACCCAAGCTCTTACTCCTAAGAGTTATACACCTACGTCGTGATTCTAATCTTCGACTAAAATTCTGATAACCCTTCCTTCCCTTAGCTCTCACTAAATTGTCACATTCAGCCTTACTGACTTGAGTGTTGGAGTGCCTACGGTAGACACCACACTGGTGTTTACATAAGTTTCATGCTTGTTTACTTTGTATGTAGGTATAACGGATTGTTAGTGGCCTTAACCTCACAAGATCAAACCTTCTTTCCGTAACTGTAGATTTTAGCATCTACAGTTTAGCACCCACCTTGGGGCCTCTGGCAATCAACTCTCATTCGCAATCTTGCTCTACAAAGAATCACACCATGGTTGAAATCATAGACATTGCCTTAGTAGACCTCACAGCTAAGGTTGAGGCTCTCTCGATACTAATACATCAACAAGCCGACAAGGTCATGACACTAGAAGCCAAAAACAACAACATCCGGGCCAAGAATCAAAGGTTATGGGAAAAGGTAACTCAGTTTTATTCTTTGATTTCCTATTCAACTAGATACCGGAGAACCATTTCCGCATCACGATAAACTCCATGCAACCACACATGACTCCGGACCCCAGATCCTCGACCTTAGACCCACAATCTTCCCAGCTCTAGTCATCCATAACGGATGGCTTGACACCCACCATTACAAACACAACAAACCTAGCCATGTAAACACGACCCCTATCAGCTGATCCCTCAATCACCCGTGCCCAGCTCACTCAAGCTATCCCCAA